AGGTGAGTTTAATAGAAGTTTGGTCCAAATCAAGTGTTTCCAAAGACAGCCGAGGCTAAATTACTTGATTGGAACACACCATAGTATCAATGCTTATTTACTTTTACACATAACCACATTCATTAAAATTCACAAATAATAAACAGATAATGTAAAAGATACTGGATTGTATTTTTCAGAAGAGTTTCACAAATATAACAATAACAAATAGGGGGGGGGGGGGAAATATTTAAAATTATTAATTTAATTTGACAACAATCACAAATAAATATGTATATATTAATTAAAAAAGCCATTGCTTTTTAATTATGCTAGTTTTTGCTTGTCTTTCCAGGAAGTACAGGATGTCCACATGAAACGCAATGCAGCCCTTCGAGCCCTCCCATTATACCTGCGTGAGGAGGACCCACAGTTCTTCAAGTCTTGGAGCGTAAGTATTTAGTGCACTCAAAGTACTGCTAGTGAGGTCAGAATGTGTGCTTGTAAGAAACTGTTTCGCTATTTTACCCTTCCAGTTAAAAAAACAAACGGATGGGAGCAATCAAAAATATTTTCAGATATATGAAAGAAAGGTTCACCTAAACACATTTTTTAAATGCCTTCCTATATAGGCTACTTACCTGTTGAGGAATATGTGAATGAGATTGTTTAGTTACTTCAAGTCAACCTTACAGTTGGACTCTATGCATTTCCAGGCAGAGGAGGTGGACCGGCCAGACATCACCAACACACCGGTTGCTATTGTCAGCATGGTCACCGAGGGCACTCCAAGTCAAGTTGATCTCAGTCCGGCAAGTACTGCTATTCTGGTGGAAGGTGATTTCGTCATCAGCAATATCCGCAGGATGGTGGATTCCTTTGCATTGTTGTTTGGCTTGATGTACGTGTTACATTTGGACTACCCCAAGAAACACTTTCACTTTCATACAGAAAGTGCTGATGGGCCTTGATGATGGTAAACCACTGAAGCCCTGCATACTCAATCTAAAAAAAATGACCTGTTACTAAAAAAGTAGGCCGTGTTACAGGTTGAAACTTTGCACATGCCAATGTTTGTTTTGCACAGTTAAAGGTGGGGTAGGTAAGTTTGAGAAACCGGCTCGAGATACACTTGTTGTTATATTCCATGGAATGCTCTAAACATCCCGATAGCAATGAATATCTGAAGTGCTTTGACAATAAATCCATAAAGAAGTGTCATCTGTGGAAGCCGTAGTACTGTAAAAAGCACGACCAATCATCTGAGCCGGCTAAAATAACTGGATGGCCTACCTGCCTGTCAGCCTTCCATCTGTGCACAAACTTATCTCGTGCCCTCATTGGTCATGTGCGCGTTCGTGTGTGTTGGAGGAGGGGCTCTGTAAGGAAGTGGCAGATTTTTTCCGGCTGTGTATTTTCAAATTCTAGCGCACTCGAGCTGGTTTCTTCAAAATTACCAACCCCATCCTTGATGGTGGTAAACCACTGAAACCCTGTGCCTACAGTTGTTCATGTTTGCACTTTAACTGCTATGGCACGCTGTTTGAGTATTTATTTCATATCCTTGATATCAGACAGCAATTACCTACACTAACTGGCTCTTTGATTGCACTTGTTAGATATATGGTCACACTAGTTTGACATTTTGCTTTACTAGTTGAATAACACATTATACTAGTCACTCTTTTTCAGCCACTAGTGGCACTTTTGTCTGACTAGTTACTACATAAGCCTTACTAGTGACGCCAGGAGCAGCACTAGCAGCACCAAAGTCCCAACTTGTAAGCTTTTTTGATGAACTAGTGACCCTCTGACCGTACTAGTAACACTAAAAGTTAACAGCACTGCAAAAACTCAAGTTGGGACTTTAGTGCTACTAGTGCTGCTCATGGCGTCACTAGTAAGGCTTATGTAGTAACTAGTCAGACAAAAGTGCCACTAGTGGCTGAAAAAGAGTGACTAGTATAATGTGTTATTCAACTAGTAAAGCAGAATGTCAAACTAGTGTGACCATATATCTAACAAGTGAAATCAAAGAGCCAACTAGTGTAGGTAGCTGCCGTCTGATATCAAGGATATGGAATACATACTCAAACGGCTTGCAAAACTCCTTGAAATGTTTCTTTTTACAAATAGAAAATATAACTAATTTGTATTAAATTTCCTTTTTTGTGAACAATAAGTACCTTTTGAAAAATGTATTTTAATTTCTAATTCTTTTATTTTGAAATGTGACTTACAGTTTGATGGTCTTTTAAAAAAAAAAGTGTTGCAGTAAGAAATTACATGTTTTAGAATTCACGTTTTGATTGGATGAACAATTTAAGACTGAATAAATAAAAAAAATAAAGTCTACAGAAGTTGTTGAAGTTCTTTGAGTATTTTGTACTTAAATAAATAAGAAAATATTGGCCAATGAGTTATCTAGAAATATATTTTTTGATTTCAATATTCATGCAATAAAGTACTTTTGCATCAAACTAATTCATTATGGAGAAATTAAATTTTTTAAATGTGTCAAACAATGTTTATGAGTACAGTATACTTAAATAATACACAAATAATAATTAAAGTTTGAAGTTTAAGTAACTTATCATTTTTGATCAATAATTTACTCTATAGTCTTAAGTTAGTTTACTTAAAACTTTTGTGGTTATCAGTTTCCACAAAAGTTTTGAGTACTCCGAACTAATCGGGTTTTACAGTGTGGATGCATCCTTGTTGTTGGTTCAGCTCTGGTTCTCTGTCTGTTCGATGGAGGAGGAGGAGTCTCCTAGTCTTGTCTTCTGACCCTACCGCCTGAATGTCGCAGCAGAAATGGTCTAGTGGTTATTTGAGTTACTGTTGCCTTTCTATCATCGGACATTTTTCAGAAAAAAAGTCAGAATTTGAGAAAATTGGTCAGAATCTTTTATTTTAGGAAAAAGTCAAAATGTTGAGGTTATCTGAAAAATTCAGCATTTTAGAAAAAGTCAGGATTTTGACTAACAAGTTATGAGATATGCGGAAAAAAAGTCTAAATGTTGATGTTTTTTGAAAAAGTGAAGATTTTGAGAGAAAAAAGTAAGGATTAAAAAAAAAAAAAAATTATTTCAATGAAAAGTCAACATTTGTAGGTTTTCTGAAAAGGCCAGATTGTATAGATTTATGAAAAATTCAGCATTTCACAAGGTCAGAATTTTGAGAAAAAAAGTCAGGATGTTTTGATTTGAAGAAAGTCAAAATTCTGAGGTTTTCTGAAATATTCAGCATTTTAGATAAAGTCAGAATTTTGAGAAAAGCCAGAAATGTGAGAGATTTCCAGATAAGGTCAGAATTTTGAGAAACAATGTCAGACTTTTGAGATTTTCTGAAAAATTCTGACTTTGTAGAAAAAAGTCAGAATTCTGAGAAACAAAGTCAGAGATGTTTAAACACAATGAGAAAATGCGTTAGCATTCGCGCTAGCATTTGCGTTAGCATTCGCGCTAGCGTTAGCATACATGCTAGCGTTAGCCATACTAGCCTGCATGCTTATTGCACAGCTATTATTAGCTATATTTACCTTGTTTACACTTAGTGCTCCTATGTGTTAATATGTGTATGTTACACTTGCATGTATGAGATCATTAAGTGCCTTGTAAGTTATTTTTGTATAGTTTCACTCCGTTTGAATGTCAGTGGACTGCAAATAAGTCAATACAGGAGTATGGCTGCTGATTCCCTGGCTCTCAAAAGAGTTTGGCTGGCTGGTTAATCTATGTTCACACTGAGACAGTACAACACATAGAGAGAACAGTACACCTATGGTGTAAGTACATACAAGCAGGTCACAAAAAAATATCTGTTTTTGCCTTGGATAAAGTTGACATGTTTTGGGATGTGTCTGAACCTCTCTTCAGTGGTTAATTAATAAAACAGATATTTCAACGTGTGCCTACTTTGTTCATGTACTGTTGAGGTTAATTTCAGTAGTTGTGTGCTATAATGTATTTACAAAGTGTGAAGAGGAGGCAACTTTAGAATAGGGAACATGTTCAGGTCAATTAGAGTCAAACTAATAGCTTATTGGTTATGAACAAGACTTCATTTTAAAATAGGGAACATAGTCTTAGATAGAAATACCTAATTTTGAATTATTTAGACACAATTAACACTTGAAATAGTTTCATGTCTTGTTACATAAGAATATATCATATTTGTTAAGTGTTATTATGGGAGAATTAATATTCTTGTGGTACTACTGCCTTATTAGGCCCATATTGAGCAGAGCATATTAAGACCAAAACTCATGTACAACAACTTCCTTACTTGCAACAAATCAGCACTAATTAGAGGGTTATTGAGGAAAAACTCTCAACTAATGGCTTATTACTTGTAGAATATGGTCATGTAGAATAAGGCATTAATAAGTGTTTTATAATGACTAATAGAGCCAATATACTGCTAATAAGCATGTTAATTAACAACTAGTTGATGGTTAATTTGTGTACCTTAATATAAAGTGTTACCAAATTTTCTGAGATGCTGAATTTTGGCTTTCATTAGCTGTAAACCGCAATCATCAAGATTAAAACGCTGGAAGTAATCCCTTTGTGTCTGATGAATATATATGATGTATAAGTTTAAACTTTATAAATTGAATTACTGATATTAACTCACTTTTCCATGATATTCAATTTATTAAGATGCACCTGTTTGAATCCAAGTACAGGTTTAGCGAGGCGGTGAGAGATTTTAAACGACTACTCTGAGAAACTCCAACATCAGCTAACGACTCTGCAGACAGGTCACAAACTATAAGGCTAAGGCCTCACACTCCGTGAACGGCCGACGCCTTGCTAACCGGCAGTGAAACTACATTTTAGGTCAGCTAGAGTACTAACTCACCTGTTGTCCTGAAACTCTCCAGGGCATCTGGTAAAGCATTTAAAATAAGGAATGGATAAGGGCTGCAAAGTTAAAGAAGTGTTAATCGTGGTAAGATTTTAAATCCTAATACTTTACAGTTTCTCTGAATATGTGTTCCCTGTTTCCTGCAGACGTCCAGCAGCTGCTGGTGGTTAAAGAAGAGGTTCTCCCTGAGCAGCAGGAGTGGAGCTCCAGTCTGGACCAGGAGGACCCAGAGCCCCCCCCACACATTAAAGAGGAACAGGAGGAACTCTGGAGCAGTCAGGAGGGAGAGCAGCTTCAAGGGCTGGAGGAGGCTGATATCATCAAGTCCACATTCACTCCTGTCCCTGTGAAGAGTGAAGATGATGAGGAGAAACCTCAGTCCTCTCAGCTTCATCAAAGACAAACTGAACACCTGGAAACAGAAGCTGATGGAGAGGACTGTGGAGGACCAGAACCAGCCAGGAACTCAGATCCAGAGAGACATTTACAACCAGAGACTGAGGACAACCCTGGAGACTCTTCTGAACCTGACACTGAAGACAGTGCTGATTGGAAGGAGACCAGAGAACCAGGTTCAAACTCTCAGGAAAATACTCAAGACCCCGTTAGTGATTCAAGACGTAGTGCCGGAGAGAAAACATTCGGCTGCTCTTTGTGTAAGAAAACATTTAAACAGAGAGGAAATGTAAATCGGCACATGAGAATCCACACAGGAGAGAGAAAATTTGGGTGCTCAGTTTGTAAGAAATATTTTTCACAGAGAGGACATTTAAAGACACACATGAGACTCCACACAGGAGAGAAAATATTTGGCTGCTCAGTCTGTGAGAAAGCTTTTACACAGAGAAGACATTTAAAGACCCACATGAGAATCCACACAAGAGGGAAACCATTCAGCTGCTCAATTTGTAAGAAATATTTTGCAGAGAGAGGAGATGTAAAGAAACACATGAGAATCCACACAGGAGAGAAACCATACAGCTGCAGTGTTTGTGACAAAAGATTTACCTGGAGTAGTCAGCTCAAAATCCATAAGTGTGTTGGTCGTCAGTCCCCACAGCTTCATCAAACTCAAACTGAGGAGAACAGAGAGGCAGAGCCTCCAGCCAGCAGATCAGCTGAACACCTGGAAACAAGCTGATGGAGAGGACTGTGGAGCATTGGTTCTCAAATTGGGGTACGCGGACCTCTAGGGTTACGTTGGAGTACTGCAGGGATTTCGTGAGATTTCTTTTATGTTAATGAAAAAAAAGTAATGCTTTTAAACAAACTACTAATAGTAACTACTTCATTCAAAAGTTTACAGTAATTCTGGATAATAAAATGGGAAAAATAAACGGGGTGCTCTCTTTTCCTCTCCCTCTCCTGACAGCCCGTCAGTCTCGTGCAGCTCGCTGAACCTGTAATAAGCCGACAGTAAAGAATAAATATATTTATAACTAGTTTAGCTAGTTCCAGAGTAGATAAACTAGCTAAGTGTGTTAGGTCTAACTCTTAGTGTATTTTGCTCCGCTCAACGGTCCATCACAGCGGCGGAGCTGTGATCATGCCGAGCTGCATGTTTTCCGTCAGCAGCAGCAGCTGATCTGATCTCTGATCCCTCTCTCGCGTCCGGTTAGACTTCACTCGCGTTTATGTCCAAATCTATCAGATCTAGTTCTAGTTAATGACTGCCTGCTTATCAAAGGACCTAAACAATAAGCCTTGCTTAGCAATGGCGTGTGGCCGCAAAGTATAGCGCAGCATAGAGTGCCACAATCATAAATCTATCGATTACATTTATGATTTGAAAATTATAAAAGTATACATGTGGAGATTATCCGACTGAACAAAACTTGATCCGTCTCTTAAATGTGTGTCAACCACAGACCTTATTTTGAGCTATTTTTCAAAATTCTATGGAGAAATCCAATTGCTTTTTTGTCGAAGGAACCCATGCGCAGCTTCCTTCCGGGTTTTAGGATGCGTCACTGTGGCACTCTATTATGCATATGTTTATATGAGGGGTCAAAATCCCATAAAATGCTCATATATTTGTTTCTCTTCATTCCCCACGCCTCAAAATAAATAAATAAATATACCAATTGTAGGAAAAGTAACGAAGTTTGAGCATTGTGGGTATTATATTTACAGAGTTACACATATTTCAAAACGCAAAGTGTAATAACTGCAGTCTGCCTCATGATCCTCAGTGAAGCACAAGCCCATGTTTCTCACTAAATTATAAGTACAACTTATTAAAAAGATCAGTTCAATGTCGTCTTAGTGTTATTATGTTGGAATTGGTTTGCCATGAATTTAGTGATGGATTGTAAACATTTGAAATTTAGCATTTAAGTGTTTCTCAGCGCTGTACTCTCCCTCTTTATATAGGCTTTTCTTCCCTAACACATTGTGTCTGCACTGATCAGGGGGTACTAGGCTGAATTTCTTTTTCAAAGGGGGTACATTATTGAAAAAAGTTTGAGAACCACTGCTGTGGAGGACCTGAAACAGCTAGGAACTCAAACCCAGAGAGACATTTACAACCAGAGACTGAGGACAATCCTGGAGACTCTTCAGAACCTGACAATGAAGACGGTGATTATTGTTGGGTTTAAACTATTTGCGTTAGTCCCAGTAAGTGTGTATAAAGGCCCCTACACACCAAACTGACACCAAAGAACACGTCCAGACGGACCCGATTGTTGTGTCGCCTCACGTCTCCTGCGTCTTGGCCAAACAGTCGCCCTGTGCGTAATAGGGTGACGGGAAGGGGCCTTGACCGACCGTCAACATGTGACGGGTTGGGAGTGAGAACGTGTTGTGTATGTGTGTGTGTATATATATATATATATATATATATATATATATATATACACAGTGCAATAAGAAGCTACATGGACTTTAATCTACGTCGGTAATATTAACTTTATTTAATACAACATTTACGGTACAAGATTTACATCATACAGCCCATGTAGTATAATATTTTACAAATGATGAATTACAGCAAACATGTGCAATATATCCATTATTACAGCTCCGTGGGCAGTAAGGCGATATGGTCCGTTGTTATTGTGCATCCATGGGTAAAGAGAAACTCATTTAGTGCTGAACACGTAACATGAACGTGCCGGGCAGCGCGGTCCCATGGGTTAGATGCGCGTTCATAATGCCGAGGGAAATAACTCTCAGTATAACGTTATTAGCACATTTTACAACTTGAGGACCGAATGTTTTTAATAAGGGCTATACAAACGTTCATACTGGGTAGTTTATTTAGTTTTAAAAAAATGATCAAATGATTTACAGATTACTCTTTCCCAATGTAAGTCAATGGGGAAAAGTGTTTCCGGGCCCAGCAACGGAAGTGTAGTACCGCCATTTGGCCACAACTAATATTTTCCTCAGAGTCCGAGAAGGGTCCATCTGCAGTCGCAGCCAGTCGGTGGAGGTTGAACCTGTCGGAAGCTGTACTTCCAAATATGGTCAGAAGAGAGCGCGCCCAACACGTGATACGCTGACGCAAGGATATTTAAGGATACATGAGAGGCTTCTCAATTCTTAAATTTCCCCTCCTCGACTCCTATCCTCGTGAGTTAGTCCCGCCCACAGGAGATGCGAGCGGAGGACTGAGGGGGGGAGCCGAGGAGAGAGGAGGGGAAGCAGCATGAGGTGATTGGATTGACGTCGTCCTCTCCTCTGAGCGGTCATTTTAAAGAGACGTCCATTAATGATGACAGGAGGCACAGCAGCCCTCTGTCTGATGGACAGATGTGTTCATGACCACTTATATACAGTATTTACTTTGATTCATTGAGAGTGCGGTATATGTTCTATTGTTATAAGTGTTCACTATAACTTGTATAGAGGCTCTAGTATAGGAAAGGATTGGACCAACGTGTAGGTTGACTTGCTCTCGTTTCTTAATCACCGATGCACAACACGTTACATCATAAAGGTTCCTACCCTATTATGCCTCATACTACATCCCCCTTTCTAAATAGGAGACCTTACCTGTGGAGAGGATGTGTATGGACAACACAAGCCTCTGAAGCTGATATTAAACCATTTCTTAACTTGTATTCATTCTAATGAACAATACATGTATAACAGCATTACATCTCAAGTTTACCAAGATGGATATTATTAAAGACACTGTTACGGTTGCTGTTTGTCTGCTCATTAATCTGTCTGTGAGTGTTTTCAGCTGTGTGTGTGTTTATGTAAATGAGCTGTGTGGTTGCTCCAACATCATTGGCTGCCCATCTCCTGGTCCGCCTCTGAAGATGGTGATTGGATTGACGTCGTCCAATCGCAGCGCACAGCCGGCGCACACCTGCTGGGGAGGAGTACAAAGGCCGCGGACTATCACCACTCTGGAGGCTCTGTTGAGGAACAGACGCCTCTCGCTACTTGCTCTTAGAGAATTCTGTTAACTGTGGTAAAACTCGTGTGTAGAGTAGCTTAGTTAGTGTTTAGAGTATAGTTTCTGATGTTGTGACTGTTGCCCTTAGTTTAGCTGTGTTGTGTATAGATTATTTGGTTAGTTGTACCACTGTTAAAGTGAGGGTTGTTTCGTTCTTTATTTAGTATAATAGTATTTATTTTGCCTGTATGCGTTTAGACTCACTTTTTACAGTCCTCCCTTAGTTTGGTTGCCCATTTAAACTTGCCCCTAGCCTAAATAGGGAACGTAACAGACACTAAAGGCTTTTTCTAGGTCTTAACATAGTGCAAAATATGAAACACTTTATCAACGTGTATTTCTGAAAACACTGCAACATATAGTTCTGTCTAACTGCAGAATTCTTATTAATACATTCAACTTCTGCACTTCTTTTTATTCATGTATTTAGTTTTAACTATGGAGGGATGGGGTGGACTACCTAAACCCTCCAGTTGAGTGTGGGGATTATTCTGCCCCATTGACCACTCAGTGTCCTGGCTATGAACGCACAAAGTCTGTTAGATGTGCAGGAGGCGCCCTGACTCTGGCAGGAAAACGTCTCTCACACACTGTGCTTTGCTGACTCGAGTCATGCTGGACTTCTGGTGTGGCAGGAGTGCATGCTGCCTCAGTAGTGGTGTTTACAGGTGTGGTGTTATCAGATAATCGAGGACCCTCAGGGGTTGAAGAGAGGTGGTATCTGTTTCTACGGACAGTGCCCCTGGGTGTCTCAACGATGGTGGGCCTGCTGTTGACACACACTGTGCCCTTCTCATGTGTATCTTTGATCAACACATGTTCGCCGGCTTGCAGGTGCAGCATATCATGTGCTCTGTGTCTGCGATCATAGTTTTGTCTCTGTTTTTGTCTGTAACTTTGTTCTGTCAATTTCAAATGTATCATATCAGCACATCCTGGGTTGAGCTGTGATGGAATGACAGGAACGAGTGTCCTTATCTTCCTCCCCATGAGAAGCTCTGTGGGACTGTATCCATTTGCCAGAGGAGTAGCACGGTAGGCCACGAGGGCAAGATATGGATCACTTGATTTCTTAAGGAGACCTTTGATTGTCCTCACAGCCCGCTCCGCTTCTCCATTGGTCTGAGGGAAGTGGGGACTGGATGTCACATGACTGAAGTTCCAGTCCTGGGCAAACGTCCTGAATGGCTCGGATGCAAACTGTGGTCCATTGTCTGAGCGCACTATTTTTGGCACCCATGTCGTGCAAAGATAGACTTGAAGTGTGTGATAACTGCCTCTGATGTTGTGGAAGTTAATTTTGCCACTTCAAAAAATCTTGAAAAATAGTCAACAATGACCAAATAATGTTTGTTGTCTAATTGAAACAGATCTGCTCCCACTGTAGACCATGGTCTCGGTGGGAACTCAGTAGGCATCAATGTCTCTCTGAGGTTTGTTCTCTCCCGGTTACATGTGTCACAGTTCTCTATCACTTTTGTTAACTCCTTGCTGAGTCCTGGCCACCACACAGACTGTTTGGCTCTTTCTCTGCATTTGGTTATGCCCATGTGACCTTCATGCAGCTTGGTGAGCATGTCGGCTCTGAGCGATGTAGGGATCACTATCCTGCTACCATAAAGTAGGAGACCATTTTGAACTGTGAGCTCACCTGAGAGTGGCAGATAGGGTTGAAACACTCTCAATAGAAAACTTGTCCGGTCATCCCTCTACACCAGGGGTCTCAGACTCCATTTACCTGGGGGCCGCTGGACGTAGAGTCTGGGCAACTTCAAGTATTCCACAAAATATTTATTAAAAAATACAACATTAACAGTTCTTCAACATCTTCTTAACATGAACGGTTCTTCACAACATAACTATTTACAGTTGCTCTTGCCTACTCCTTGCTGGTAGAGACCTGGCAGCGC